TCCCTTATTGCAACGCCGATGGTCATCGGCCTCCGCTGAAAGTCATGAGGGCCGATGATGGCCATCCTTCGGCGCCTTTTCAGAAGGGGCTGCTCGTCCATATCTGAGTCTGAAGACTCTCCTTGTATTTGGTCTTCGGGACGAACAGGAGCTTTCCCTTCTCTGTGTCTGTTACTCTCTTCAGACTGTAACAGACAGGGGGGAGGAAGAATGTGAGTAAAAAAAAAAAAAAGAAGAAAAGAAAAAAGAAAAAGTTAAGTCTGAAAGCTCACCGAGGTCTTCAGCAAAGCCTCGTCTTCTTTAGCTGCTCTAGCTGCAGCTTCGGCTTCAGCAGCTCTGGAGGACCCTTCTCCTCCTTCGCAAGCTTCGAGAACCCGTGCAACCTCTTCGGCTGTGCGGGCAGCTTCAGCTTCTTCGTCCAGCAGCTGAAACCAGGGGTCTCTCTTCTTCCACCAAGGCTTCTGCCTCTGATACAGAGCAACAGCCTCAATTTGGAAGTGGGAAGAGTCTAGATGAACTTCCCTATGCCTCGGCTCAGTGATAGACGGGGCCCGTTCAGTTACAACTCGTTCTCGGATGACACCAAGACGAGCGTAGTTAATGCCAACGTTGGTCTCGTCCCGCTCTGAAAAAAGGAAAGGGGAAAGGTTAGCTCAGATAGGTTGGCACAGCATAAAAAAGCGAAGCGAGAGAAGAAAAAGAGATAGTTAAAAAGCCTCGGCCTCAGCCGAAGAAGCTTACCATCCTTAAACTTTCGGCTGAGGCCAACAGCTGCTAGCATGTTCTCTTAGAAAACGTAATGCGTATCGGGGAGCCAAGTCTCCGGGATATGCTGCATTCGGCCACTGCCCCCCCGGTTCGGCAACTTGCCGAAGATATGTTGCTGATCCAGGTTCGGATCCGCCCCGTTATCTGCGGGGGGACCTAGACTTCCCATTTCGGGATCAGGCTCAGCGAGGTACCGGGGAGCGCTGAAGACGCAAGGGTGGCCCGGATCTTTGGGTGCCCTAACCCAAATCCATTGACCTCTCCAGTCCTTGTCTGAAGAGTCGTTTGGCCACATGGTTAGGTATTGGGGCCGGGACTCAATCCGGTACCACCCAGAACCATGGCTTCCGTGCCCACTTTGAATATTTGGCACTAGCCGATGGAGCTTTTTGAAGCAGTGCAGGTTCGGCACGTACTTGAAGAACTTGCAGACCCATAAGTATGTCATCACCCTTCGGATGCTGGTGGGAGTTAACTGACATAGAGAGATGTTGTAATGGATCAGCAAGTCTCGGACGAATACGTCCAAAGGGAACCTCAGCCCGTACTGAAGCTGTCTTGTGTACACCCCCACATACCCCGGGGGTGGACGATGGATTCTATCGGATGCCGAGGGCATTCGACACCAATACCCATCAGCTTCAAAAATGTCGTAATGCAACTCAATTTGCTCGGCAAATCGATATTGATCGGCATTCTCCACCCACCATGGGTAGGGGCGGTTCTTTATCATGGCCGAAGCAACTTCGGCATTCTCCCATTCTGAAAACCCGGGGAGGATATCCCAAAGGACAGCGGGAACTTCATCATCTTGTCCAGAAGCGCTCGGCTCCTCCGTTCTCTGAGGAGGAGCCGAGGAAAGGGGAGTCGCCCTAATCCCTTCAGCAGGGTCAGACTCTGGCCTTTGTCCATTCCAGGTCCCAATCCTGTTCCTAGGATCGGGAATCGGCCTTGCTCTTCTTGGAGCACGGGCTCTACCTCTAACTCCTCTTGTCATTGATTATTTCGAAGAAAAAAGTCGAAAGAAAAGGGGAAGGAGTTCGAATTCAAAGAAAAATAAACTGAAATCAAAGGAATTTACCTTAATCTGAAGCGAAAGTTGCCGATTTACGAGTTCGTTGTGGCAAGTCTCAGTTTCTAAGCTTAATGCTCGGGGAATTTGCGAAGTTTTGATGCGGGTTCTTGGTTTCTCTCTCGAGAATTCTGGGTTTGTGTTGGTGAATAAGTGAGGAGAGATGACGCGCCTCTGTTTATATCTCCAGGTATGGGATACGAGGAGTCTGCGTTTTAATTTCTCTTAAATACTCCACTAAGTAACCGTTAAACACATGATCTTGTGATTAAACTGCCCATTATCCGTCCAACTTCCACAATCATTAACCGTTGTTATCTCATTAATTACGGTTTAAATTCAAATTTTTGGATTAATTAAATCATTTACTTCCCTCCTTTTCTGAATTAAATCAAACCCGACCCGTCATCCTTCCAAATCGGGTCTGGGGGGCAAGTTGTTTGGGTCCAATTTAGTCCAATTGGGCCTAAGCACTAAATGATCCAATTAAAAGCCCAAGGTCAAGGTTCAACTCTCCAATTGTGCTAAAGTCAAAGGTCAGCCCACAAAGCAAGCCAATTGGGCTAAGGCCCAACCTCTCCATGTATGATGAGGTATAAAAGCCTTCATATTGATACATTCAAGGAGAGATTCATTCTGATTCATTCATAGATTCATATGTTCATTCATATATTCTGATATATTCCATAAAAGCCTCAAGCAACAAACTCTCTTGCATAGTGTCTTCTTCTTACACATTGTACTGACTTTAGCATCGGAGGGGCCTTCCTCGGCAACACCCCCGAGGCTAGTTTACGTGTGTTTACTGTGCAGGAAACCTTCGGCCCAACATAACTTGGACCGAATCCAGCCTTCTCCATTTCAGCGGACCTTCGGCAAGGTCCCATTGTTTTCACCCGAAACAGCGTTCCTCCCTAGATAGACAATGTATGCAGTGGTGGAGATGTAATCATCGACATCACGAGCCCAATCTGCATCGGAGAAAGCATGGAGAGAGAGTGGAGAGTCCTTATGAAGTAATAGACCCATATGTGAGGTACCATGTAAATAGCGAAGGAGACGGCGAAGAGCCTGCATATGCGTTGTAGTGGGACGTTGCATATACTGAGAAAGTTTGTTAACTGTATATGCAGTGTCAGGCCTAGTGAGGCCGAGGTATTGAAGGCTGCTAATGAGCCTCCTATACTCCGTTGGTTCAGGTAGCTTGCTGCCGTCATGCATGGTTAGGTGAGGGGTGGTGGAAATGGGAGTAGGCATTGGCTTGGCTTCATCCATGTTGGCACGACTAAGAATGTCATTTATATACTTTATTTGGCTAAGGAAGAGACCGTTTGGGTGAGGAGAAACCTCAACACCAAGGAAGAATGATAGAGCACCGAGGTCTTTTAAGGAGAAGCGGTTTGCTAGTTGTTTGATGAAGGTGTCTAGGAGGGAAGGAGTATTGCTAGTAACAATAATATCATCTACATACACTAGAAGATATATAGTGTTACCATTTTTGTGAAGAGTGAATAGAGAAGAGTCAGATATAGTGTTTGTAAAGCCTAAGTAAAGAAGGTGTTGCCGTAGCTCCTTATACCAAGCTCGAGGAGCTTGTTTGAGACCGTATAAGGCTTTCTTGAGTTTACAGACATGGTTAGGGTACATGGGGTCACAGTAACCTGGAGGTTGGATGGTGTAGACATCATCGGTGAGGGTCCCTTGAAGGAACGCATTATTGATATCAAGTTGACGGAGTGGCCATCCTTGACTTACAGCAATGGAGAGTATAATGTGCACTGTTGCTGGCTTGACAACCGAGCTAAAGGTTTCACCGTAGTCTATGCCCGGTTGTTGGTTATAGCCACGAGCTACATACCGTGCTTTGTATTAAGTTATACTTCCATCCTTTCCTCTTTTAATTCGAAAAATCCTCTTAAAACCAACCACATTTTGTGAAGGAGAGGGAGGGACAAGTTCCCATGTATTATTAGCCGTGAGGGCAGCCATTTCGGCATCCATTGCCTTTCGCCATACGGGGCTTTTTAAAGCTTGTGTAATGGTTTTGGGTAAAGCAATTTCAGATAGCTCGGTATGAAGGTTGAGTTTTTTGAATGGGTTTACGAATGCCTAGTTGGAGACGAGTAACCATTTGTGGTGATGGGGGGCAATTATGTGGAGAGGAGGGAGTTGCATCAGTAGTACGTGATATGGTGGGGTTGTATGTGGGTGATTGAGTCGTGGAGTTTGGTGATGAGGAGGAAGAATGGATGGGCGTGAGATTGTGCGTGGGATTGTGAGTGGGATTGTGAGTGGAATTGTGAGTGGAATTTGGTGATGAGGCAGAGGTAGTGGTTGTAGCAACTTGAGTAGGCTGACTTGCAGGGGGGTTAGAGCGTAGTATAGGGAGTGATATAGGAGCCCATTCCTCTACAATTTGATGTAGTGATGGTTGATTCTTGAGGTGTGTAGAAAAAGGGTATGTGTTTTCCACAAAGTGTACATGACGAGAGGTGTAGACTTTGTGTGTGGATAAGTCAAGGCAATAGTATGCACTTTGAGTAGGTGAGTATCCAATGAACACACAAGGTTTGGATTTCGGGTCTAGTTTGTGAGAAGTGTAAGGTTTGAGCCATGGGTAACATAAACATCCAAAGCTTTTTAATTTGGTGTAGTTTGGTTTGAGGCCAAATAATTTGTGAAAAGGGGAGTCATTATTTAGAGTAGGTGTTGGAAGACGGTTTATAAGATAGACGACCGTAGAGCAAGCATGTGTCCAATATTTAAGAGGCATTTTTGCATGGTCAAGTAGTGTTAGAAAAGTTTCAACAATGTGCCGGTGTCGGCGTTCGGAATATCCATTATGTTGAGGAGTATGTGGAGGAGTAGTGAGGTGAGAAATGCCATCAATCGATAAGTATTTGTGAAGAGACTCGTATTCTCCTCCATTATCCGAATATAGAGTTTTGAGAGGGAGTTGGAAATATTTTTCAACAAGGGCTTTATAATGGATGAAGGTATTATAAGTATCCGAGTTTTGTTTTAGGTGATATAACCAAATGTATTTAGTGTAATGATCAACAAAGATAATGTAGTAATTGAAACCATCATGGGAGTAAATTGGGGAGGTCCATAAATTGGTGTAAACATATTCAAGAGGGGCATGAGAGACAATAGTGGATGAAGAAAAAGGTAGTCAATGACTTTTATTGCAAGCACAAGAATTACAATCTAGAGTAGAGATATTAGGAACATTTAAATTATTTTGAGAGATAATATGTCTAAAAACATTCCTAGAAGGATGTCCAAGACGATGATGCCAATCTAAAGAAGATGATTTTGTGCTTGTATATAGTTTAGGAGAAACGGTAGAAACTTCATAGATCCCCGCATTAGATTTCCCTTGGAATAGAGACGCCCCTGTTTTGAGATCCTTAACACAAAATCAATTTTGTGAGAAATTAATGGAGACATTATTATCAAGGCATAATTGAGAGAGAGATATGATATTTTTAGTTATTGTTGGGACAACAAGAACATTATTTAAGACAATGGAGTTATAGAATTTTAAAGGACCAATATGAGTTATAGAGAGGCCCGTACCATCACCTACAAGGAGCTTCTCGGTGCCGTCATATGGATCATGGAAAGAAAGATTAGCAATGTCATTGGTGACATGGTGAGAGGCGCCACTATCAAGAATCCATGGTAAAGAGGAAGAGGCGGTGGTGGAGGGTATGGTGACCGCATTGGCTTGCGGTTTGGAGGAGTGAGAGGGGGATGAAAAATTAGTTGAAGGGGGTTTTGCATTTGGGAATAGGCGTGCAAAATCAGGGCATTTGGAGAGGACATTCCCTTGAACACGACACCATTGACACTTTCCTAAGAAAGGTCGAGGTTGCCTATTGAAGGTGGTTGTAGGAGTGGGAAGGAGACCTTGTGAGGAAGGGTGAAAATGAGTGTTGGTGTTTCGGTGTGATGGCCTTGTTGTGGCAGCAAAGGCGGTGGCAGGGAGGGTTGTGTTTGTGCTATTTTGGAGCAAAGATAGTTCTTTGTTGATAAGTTTTTCATGTAACTTTTCAAAAGAGATAGGAGTATCTCTCGCATTCACAAACTCAATGACAGAGGAGTATGAGTCATCTAGACCGGCTAAGACACGGTTAATAAGATCCTTTTGTTCCACATTTTTCCCTAGGGCGGCAAGTTGATCCGCACAAGCCTTGATAGCTTGCATGAGTTCGGTTATTGATCGACCTTCTTTGGTAATACGCCGAAGTTGGTCTTTTAGTTGTTTAATGTGACCACGGCTAGGAGTAGCGTATGTTTTAGCAAGAATATCCCAAAGTTGCTTGGATGTTTGGGCTTGAGAGACAAGAGGCATTAAATCGGTGGAGAGAGTGCCAATTAGAGCACCACAAATGAGCTTGTCTTGGCGTGTCCAAAAGGACAGCTCGGGGTTGGGAATTTCAGTAGTTTCGTGAGTGATGGTGGCTGTGGGAGAAGGATAGGAGCCATCAACAAATTTGAATAAGTCATGGCCAATTAAGATAGCCTCTATTTGCATTTTCCATGAGAGGTAGTTTGTGGAGGTAAGTTTGATAGCATTGGGTATGTGGACAAAGATAAAGGGCTTGGTGGAATCAACAATGTTGGGAATTTGATAGGAGGAGGAGGAAGCTGCCATTGCCGTGGAGAAGGAGGAGGAGAGCGTGTGGGAGAAGGATCGGTTAGGCTGATACCATATAGAGTGTATAAAGTTGTATATTGATTGTGTTGATTTATACAGAAGATTACAATGCTATTTATATACAAGCTGTGTAACGTAAGAAAGGAAAAGTAAATAAATACAAGCTGAAATTAGGGAAAGAATTATTGTACTGTTCAAGATCATGGGCATGATTATAGGAATTGATATGATTGATTATAATCCCATGATCATAGGCACATTCATAGGTATTGATAGAGATGCTATTCCATAATAGGTAATATGGGATATTATTTTTTTCAAAACTTGAAGTCACAAAAGTGAAAGATCGTGCTAGACACCAAAATGTCAACACTATTCACTTAAATTTTCTTTTTCAATCTTTACACCTTTTTTTTGCACCAGATTGAAATCACATACAAAGTACCTTTTTTTTTTTTTTTTTTAGGAAACATACGAAGTACGTACGAGAAGTGTTTCGGGGTTTTAGGAGTCCCTCGGGAGAGTTACAATTCCAAGAATGGATGCCGACCGTCTGTACCTGCAAAACCACGGAAACTCCGGCTGGGCGGAGTTCCGCCTCCGACGATCAAGTTAGTATGTGTACGGACGGAGTTAAAAGTGCGAAATGTAAAGAGTTTCTCTCGGATTTAGAAAGAGAGTATCTGCAATTAATATTGCTCTGATATGTGAGAATATTTCTGAATATGCAATTAATGGGGATCTCTCCCTATTTATATGGTTTGAGGATCAACTCCCCTTTCATGACTTGGACTGCCACGTGTTGTCAGAGGATTGGTTCTTTTAGAACCTCTTTGAGGCTGACACGTGTCAGCATGCTATTGGTCCACGTGGACCGGGGGGTATTTTTACCCTAAACAGATGCCACTCACAGGTGTGACGTGGCTTGCCACGTGGCACCTGTGACAGGTGTCTCCATCTGAGAAGGCGACGATTCGCCTCCTTCTCTTTTTTTTTTTTTTAAGGTGACGGTTCGCCTTCTGGGGGATTTCCTCTATAAGTAGAAGTTCCCCCCCTCACTTTCCTCACTTTGACATTCTTGAGAAAATTTCTAAGAGAGAGAAAAGAGAGCTCTGAGACCGGCTGCTATTGTTTACGTAACGTCTGCTTCATCTTGACTTAATCGGCTATCGTCTGGGTACCCATCATTCACAGCTCACTAGAACCGCCTGAGCACTCTTTGTTTGATTCCCTCTACTTTCAATACACCCACATCCGGTCAACCGTCTGGGGTATCATCAAGCAAGGCTTCAGAGAAACGCTTGGGTTCCTCAACGATCTTTGATTGCTTTCAAAGGGGGTACATCCGGGCAACCGTTTGGGTATCTAGCAAGCAACAATCTGATTTTCAGCTGTTGACTCAGCTAGTCAACCTTCTCCACTTCTAAAGCTTCTTCAAGGTACCGTCTCTACCCCTTGCAACTCTTTTGAGCTTTTTCGGTTGTATGCTTTGTAAAGAATAATGGACTCACCCAACACATACAGGGCACGGCCTAGGACAGTTGTAAGCCGGTCTCTAGATACGACTAAGTCTAGGACTGGATGCCGTCTGGGGGTGTTTGGACCACCCTTTCTCTTCCACAAATCCGACCGTGTCTGTACATGTGCAGGACAGGATGGCTCGGACGAGGCGGACGACTGTTGACCCCAACTACAGATCAGACGACTCCGCAGAAGCGCCGACTGATATAGAATATTTTGACCCTCCGGGTGCCCCCAGCACACCCAGTGACAATATTTTGGAGGAGTCTGAGGACGTAGGCGATGATGAGACCGTCCAACAATCAGACTATGAAGAGTCAACATCCTTAGAACCGGATGCCTTCTGAGAGGATAAGGAGGCGTACAAATGGCCCTCCATTAATAATCCAACAGAAGCGAGCATGTCGGCCAGGGACATTGCTACCCTGAATGCCACCTTCCCAGCCTTTATTAAGAAGTGTCCGGTAGGGGATATGAGGCAACCGTCGTTTGGGATGACGACATTGGTCATGGCAATAACTATTTCGGCTATTATGAGGCGGCATTTAAAGCCGGCCTCCGGTTCCCTCTTCACAACGCCATCAGAGCTGTATTAAGAGGCTATGATTTGGGCGTCTGGCAGCTAACACCCAACTCTTGGGTGAATATTTTAGGATACATTGCCGCCTACAAGATGCAGAACGTAACGCCTAGCTGAGAGGTGTTTGCACATATGCATTATCTTAGGTGTGCCCCTGGCGGCTGGCGGGCGTGATATCCTTTGACCACTCACCCGGAATATATGATGACGCTTGACAAGCCGTCAAAATGGAGCAATTGGAAAAGCAAATTTTACTTAGTCTCCTCTCCTTCCCTCCGCCTGAACGGCCAGCTCCGGCACTATAATAGGGATCCGGCTCTTCTAGGGAAGAAGTGTGCCCTTCCTCGCGTCCCGAAGGAGGCATATACACAAATTATAGAGGCGGGGCTGTTTGAGAAATCAACCATGCCCCTGGATGACTGGTCCGAGATTATTGTACCCAAGAATTAGGTACCCCATCCGGACTGGCTTAGGGATGAGGATTTCCTCTCCGCCTGAGGCCTTAGCACCTTTTTCAGCAGACGTATGTAGAGAAGTTGATCAGCTTTATTCTGTCGTTTATAATATTCAGAGTTGTAATTGACTGATTTTCTTTTTGCAGAAAAAGGACTAGAGATGGTGTCGCCTGAGAAAACACTGGATAAGTCTGCTGCCTAGATTCAAAAGGATCAATTAGAAAAGAGAAGGGCCCAAATGGCGGCCAAGGACGATGGGGTAAACTCCGGCTGAGTCGTTTTTACAGTCTGTATCCGTTCAATGTCAGCACATATATTAACCGGTTGTGTTCTGTTTCTTTTTCTTGCGGGGAGCAAGAATGTTCCTCGATCTATCGTAAAGATGTTAAAAAGACTGGCTGAGGAGCCCTCCAAGGCTCCTTCCAAGACAAGGAAGGTTCCGGCTGCCGCCCTCCCCCCCCCCCTCTTCTGGTAGGCCGCCTGTATCTGACAGGCCCACCTCAGCAGGGAAGAGCCTGAAGGACCTAGGCCTAAACACAGGGTCGGTTGACCTTGAGGCAAGGGAGCCCGAAACACCCTCGAGCCGACAGCCTGCTGCAGCAACTGGCTCCAATGCGGCTAGGGTTGTGACGAGGGTTTAATCGGTCGCCACAATCTAACTCTCAATCAAACAATACTTATACGAACACCCTATAACCAAGTACAATGGCAAATAAAGGTTCGGTCCACGAGGAACGAGAGTAATTGCAAATCAATCTTAAACCTAAGCTAGTTCGAAATCAATGGAAAATGGTGTTCTAAAATACTACTAATAAAATGGAATAAATCAATAAACCAAGACACTAGGGAGAACGGGAATTCACCAAACCATCGGTAACTACGCAACAAGGAATCACAGAGACAAACGGGATATGCAAAGACTATATGTCTGATCAATATCATGTGATAGGAAGACAACGGGCAATACTAAGCTTGGATTTCTCATGCACTTAACATTACTCGATACATAATCAAACCACATTCAATAATGAAATACTCAATTCACAATCTCTTGTTCAAATCAAGGATATCATGCAATCAAATTCAGGATTCTAGGTTAGCTACTCCTATTATAATGAATTAACATGGAATCACATATAATCAATTTAATCACAATCCGTTTATCAAAATCAATCCCCAATTACATAGATTACCTAGGCCGGGTTTCATCCCGAAACCCTAGCTAGGAGACTACTCACACATATTCATAATCAAAGCAATAATGAATTCCAAAAGCATAATAGATATAAACATGAATTCTGATTAAGGAATAATAAAGCTTGATTAATAAACAAGAATGAATAATACCAATTGTATTGATGCGAATCAATGGAAAAGTTCAGAACTTTGATATCCGTCGTCAATGAATAATACAAAGAATCTTCACAAATCTTGCTTCAAATCAATCCAAGAAAACTAAAATCGCTAGAATAATCTCTAAGAAAACTAATGAATATCTGAAACTAAGAACGTTCTCCAATAACTCTCTACAAAGGCTCTCAAAAACTATCTCTAAAAAACTGTTTGAGGAATCCTCTTAAATTTGGGCCTTATATACGTCTTCTAATGCGGAGAAGTCAAGCGCGCAGTTAACCCTGGATCAGCACGGCCGTGCTAGCTTGTCAGTAAGTAAACCGAATTTCTTCTTCAAATTGGCACGGCCGTGCTATATATGGCACGGCCGTGCAGCTTCCTGGCACGGCCGTGCTAAAAATGACACGGCCGTGCTGAATATGCTCTAGCACGGGGCTCATACTGAAGCTGACACAGGCACGGGCAACATCTGGCACGGCCGTGCTAATGGCCTGCACGGCCGTGCGGGTGCGTGGATACTGACACGGCCGTGTTATTGGCTTGCACGGCCGTGCTGCCTTGCCTGGGGTTGCTTGCTTATAGGCCAGCACGGGTGTGCCTATGGTAACACGGCCGTGATGCTTGTGCTATGTAATCAATGCACGACACTTGAACTTCCTTAACTCCTCGGACTCCGGTCAAGGCTAGCTCGGTTACGCATCAAGGGCTCGGGATCCGATTAAACTCGGTTGATATTACCTGAAAACACATCAAAAACAAACCGAAAACCCGTGAAGCACGTAATATGGGGAACGTAAGCATAACAAGGTAATAATCGGCCAAAGCGGCCCCAAATACATCCAAAATCATCCTAAAATATGCTCTAAAGCGCGCCCTAAAGTGCGCTTGTCAAAACCCCCCAAGCTACACTTTTGCTAGTCCTCGAGCAAAAACCAAGGGAAACACACACAAGATCAAATAAACTATGCCATTGCGAACAAATCAAATTAAGCACGGAATGAAATCAATGGATCCTACTTAGAACAACCATGCACAGAAGGAAAACTCACTCAAACAAGCAACGAGACACACAATCCAAGATATCGTTGATCAAATGCGAACAAGACCTAAACCAAGCATAGAGAACAAAGAAATCATGCTTCCCTCTAAACCCGACCAAACCGGCCACGTCCTCCCCTTTTGCTTCAAATCACCACCCTAATTGGCCCCTCGTGATTCCTCGAAGGAACCGGAAGAAGTGATGTTTTGAGGAAATAACAAAGGTATCCCGACATCTCGATTACGCATAATCTTTCCATAGGGTTGAAA